GTGTGTGTGTGTGTGTGTGTGTGTGTGTGTGTGTGTGTGTGTGTGTGATGTCAGAAGTGCTTCACATGGGCATAGGTGGGCCCTAATTAGACAGCAAAGAGATATGGTAAAAACTTCAAAATGAGCTCCTTCCGGCAGCGTACAAAAACACCCCGCTCCGTATCAACCTCACTCACTCCCTCCCTTTTCTTGTCTCCGTCAGCACACTAGCTTTGTGTTCGAGACCGGAGCTCATATTGCGGTGATCAAATCCCTGCTGTGACCACAAAACTCCGAAACACCTGACTTCACTGTATCAGCTGCGTTCTACACACTTTCTGACCTCAGTTCAGCTCTTGCTATTATCCTCACATTCAAGGGTTAGTTCACTAAGCTAGTGACTTTTTTTTTTGTGAGCTCGTCAGTTGTAAATTAAACTCTAAGCACACCGAGGGTAACCGGTGGGCCTTCACGGCCTGCGGAGCGGCGCTGCAAGCTGAACAGAGGGCTCGGATCTCCCAAACGGGGTAAAAGCCACAACAGTTGACAACTGCTGTTTCTGATTCAGTATTTTTCTTTAGGGGGAGAATGTGCAGGCCTACAGCTCGGCGATGCCTCACTCTCCCTCACTGCGATTCTCTGCTACGGATTTTAAACATGGGTCATGGGTAATGCTGGAACACGTGGTAGCCTACGTCCGGTATGGGAGAAGTTAGTCACCGGTGCTGTCTTTGCTGGTGCTCTAGCTATAGCCTGTTTGTTTTCTATTTTATTACTGCCTAACGGGGTGGCGGGGGAGGGACAGAAGGGAGAGGAATATACCCGGCTGCTCCTGTCAGAGATTTTGTAAGCCCTCTGAAAGGGAAATGTGCACAATGTAAAACACAAAACAACTGATTTGGGCGTTCTGCAGGTGGATAGATGCAGTGGAACCGATGATGGACAGTAGGGCAAGGAAAGGTGCACGCTGTGGAAACGAGACTTTGGGAGGAGATTGGAAAAAGACTCAAAGCCTTAAATGTAGAAATCATAAGAGAGGATGAACTGATCACTAGCAAATGCGGACATTCAAAGGCATGGCCATCTTTCTCCCCACAATGTTTGCCAGCAGGATCCCTTGCTTATCTGTCCTACGGAGGACCAAACATGTCCAATCAGACCCATATGAACCCTTTTGTACTCACTCCTGTGGATAAGGAGGCAGTGAGGGGTCGTGAGGTGAACCTCACCACAACACAGCAACAATGAAACCACCAGAGGTGAAAACTGAAACAAGGTATTTAGTCTATTTTATAAGCGAACACTGGATGGCGCCATTGTGGCTGCTTTACGCAGACTGCCCACTCTGAGGAAACTGGATGTGTGAAGAAAAATACCAAACTGTGTGGCAGGACAGAGAGAGACACAACATCTGGAAGAGGATCAAAACTGTACATTTCTAAGTGTAAGAATCAAACAGACAAAATATTTGTAAATATTAAGTTTCTTGTTTGTTTTTCTTTTTCTTTTTTGAGTGAATGAATGAAATGCCTATTTTGTGACAACAAAAGACAACAGGTGCAGTTTGCAACAACAACAAAAATGGCCGCCAGATTGAGGTTTCAAATTCATTAGTGAGTAAAGAAATGCTTTCCACTGATAATTATTCATGACTTTACAAAATAACTTTTTTTCTTTACTTTGTCCCACATTGCCCATAATCATGTGAGCATCCTGTAGCATCATGATTCCTAACCAGGAGAGTCACTGTAGCAGAAATACATCTTCACTGCAGCCCCCACACAACAGAGGTCCTAAGATGCTGTAGTCAACTCTGCTAGTTTTTCATTTAAGACTGTGGCTTCATCGCTCTTTGTTTTGGGGTTGTAGTCGATGGAACAACTTATCTGCGTATATTTTTTCCTTCTTTGTTCTTTACTTTTATTTTGAAATATGTCTTGTGGTCCAACTATACTGCTGATGAGAGGCTAAGCCCTGACAAAAGTCCGCTTTGACCGGCTGATGATGTAATGGTGGAGGGGCTTGGCCTGTGATTCATGGTCAGGACTTCTAAACACAAAGTGCAGCCAACTAAATATTCTCCCACTTCACATGTAGCAGTGTTTACATGGAGCTACTTGATCACATGTGGGACAGACGTGAGGGCTTTGATACCATACGATGCCTCGTAGAGAAATGAGATCACACAGGTGGTCTGACTTCTTCCCTCCACACACTGTGTTGCATTGTGGGTGTGGAGGTTGTGTTGACCTTACAGTGATGTGATGTAGCAGTGGAGAGCTTCATGCTCCAAACAGTTGAGAGATGGATGTTCAGTAAATCTTAAAAGTCCAGTGCACTTTTAGAGCCCGAGCGTGTGTTTAACAGTGGATCAGACTGGATGTATGTGGACACACACTTAGCCTCGTCTGTGTTATGAAGGGATTTTGGTTTATTCTTATTTCAACGTGCCCGAAAACTGCAGCCAAGCAAACCAAAATGGCTTCATATCGCTGAGATAGTTAGAGATCTTGTGTCAGGTCAGTGGTGCATGGACCGCACATGGTTAACACCACACAATGGGGAGGACAGTGACACACACACACACACACACACACACACACACACGCATAAATCTTCAGCTTGGTCTCGATTGCATCAAGTTGCACCTGTTGTCTTGTTTTTACATTCTTTGTTGAATTCAGAAACCCAAGACTTGAGACGAAGAAAAATGTTAAATAATGGAATTTTAAAAAAGATGATTATTAAAAAAAAAAAGTATAGTAAAACTACATAAATAAATGCGGTGATGATATTTCTGTTTACTTTAGAAGTTATTATACACTGTATGCTGTGATTCTGATCTGGGAAACATTAAAGACATTCATAGCCAGTCTGATGATTTTGTCTCTTTATTGATATCGTGAACAAAAGTAAGTATACAATTAATGAAGAAAAAATTATATTTTGAATTCTTTTAAAGTGTAAATATGTGGAATTTCATAGAAAAATACATATATTTAGAGTAGAAGAGGCGACATGAACCTAAATATGTAAATATTTGGAACCAGATACTTAATTGAAATAAAAACAAAGACTTAAAAAGTTGAGTAACAAAAACATATTCTTCTCAATTAGATAAGAAGACAACTTACACCTATGCATGTTGACATTCACACTGAATGATGGTTTAAAAGATTGGAATTGTAAATGTTTTCCATCATCACTTCACAAATAAAAAAAGAATTGTAAGATTCAATGATTCTGGCTACATCAAACTTAATCTGGTAAAACTGTCCTCTTATGATAATACCACATAGAGACTAAGTGGCGTTTAAAAATATACAATTAATGTTAACATTTAAAACTGGACACATCACAGAAAAAAAAGCTGAATAAAAGAGATATGACATTTGATTCACAAAGTACATCTTTTCACTGACAATATAACAACAATCATCTTCCACAAAAACATTTAAATCAAAGTCTGATCATCCAACATGTGCCCCTAACATGTACATTGACTCAATATAGCTATGTATTTCAACTTTTCCACATCAAAATAAACATAGTTAAAGCAGGTTATTTTTAGTAAACATGTTAAATGTGATCTGAGCACTGCAGTGATTTTCTCATATTCTCCTATTGTAAGCCATTGTGGTGAAATATATCTGTGTACTTACAATATTACAAGCTTTTTATTTGTCATTGTATGACAGGGTTGCACAACAAAATTTAGATTGTAGTCTCAATTTGCTATATAGGAAAGAAAAAAACAAACTATAATATATATGGAGGGTGGAGGATGAATGAAGGAGTCTAGCAGCCAGAGGAAAGAAGCTGTTGTGAAGTCTGGTGGTTTGGCAGCTGATACTTCTGTATCTCTCTCCAGACGGCAGCAGGGTGAACAGGTTGTGGCTGGGTGGGTTTTGTCCTTTAATGTTGTTTTAACTCTTCACAGACTCCTCTTCTCACCAATATCACTGATGCGCAGTAGATATGTGCCAATGATGTTCTGGGCGGTTTTAATCACCGGCTGTAGAGTCCTCCTGTCCTGTGACGTGCACATCCTCTGCCAGTTTGTAATGTTTGAAGTCAGAATGTTTTCTATTGCTCCTCTGTAAAAGTTGACAAGAACCTGGCATGGGAATTTTGTCTGAATGAACTTTTTTGATTTTAGCAAATGGCTGCAATGAAACAAAGAGTGAAAAATTTAAAGGGGTCTGAATACTTTCCATACCCACTGTAGTCTCTCACTTGCTGTTAAAGGAGACTTTGATGCTTTCTTCTGCTTGCTTACATGTGATATCTTTCCATGTTGGAGGAATGTCAGCAGGCTTTGCAGTGAATGCTTCGGCAAACTGCTGGTTGAACTTTGCCAGAATGTATTTCCAGTAGTCTGATGCCTGAAGGCTTACATCTGGAGCAATTCTCCAGTCTGGGTAAATGGCCGCGTAATCCT